TTCATCGATTCCAATTTCTTGTACGCAAACTCATTTTGTTTGATCCAACATGAGTTTGAGCGGGACTGTTGATATTATTGTATGTGTTAGTAGTGGGTTTAGTCACACATTGGTTATGAGAGCACACCTCACTCTCCTCTACTTGTATATATATATGTGTGTACACATTCAATACTTAATCTAGGAGAAATTTACCCCAAGCCTCTCTCTACGACTCTCTCTCTCTCTCTCTCTCTCTCTCTCTCTCTTAACACATTAAAAATTGTGAAGTTAGTTCATATCATCTAAGTTAATAAAAGTGATAAAATGTCAATTTCAATCCTTATTGTTAATATCACTAATTCTAGATTTCAATAAAAATACAAATTGGTTGTTTTCATTTTAAATTTCATATTCCTATATGCAGATGCACGTGGCGTTAACATAGCACAATCTGCACACAACCATATATAAATGCAAGTGATCACAGATAGCATTCTAACCCAAAAGCATTAAAATTTAGATATCTTGACTGCACAAAAACATAAATTACACTGTCAATGTTCAACCTGTCTGACCTCTACAGGAGTCACTAGCCTGTAGGGGCGGATCTATATACAGTCCAGGGTGGTTTCTATAAAACCTCCTCCCTTAAAAATTAAAATATATGCATTCTACCTAATTTTTGTCTTCTTCTTTTGAAATATTTTAAAGATATTGACGTTGGATATTCTACTCATTTTGTTTGGGTTGTGGTGTATCTCTTATGAATAAAATTGCTTTAAGAAAAATTATTATCTATCTTATTAAAATATATGCATTCTACCTAATTTTTGTCTTCTTCTTTTGAAATATTTTAAAGATATTGACGTTGGATATTCTACTCATTTTGTTTGGGTTGTGGTGTATCTCTTATGAATAAAATTGCTTTAAGAAAAATTATTATCTATCTTATTATAGTTCATGCATGATCAAGCTAACCCAGACATGTTAAACTTCAGATTCTAATCTCAAGAAGAAATATGCAAATGAAGTATTTTGAATGTTACCCAGGATTTGCTCTAGGTCCTTTCTCAAACAAGAATTCTTAAAGCTCCTTCTCTTTGCTTCTTCTTCTTTTTCTTCTTCTTCTTTTTCAATTTAAGAAAGAAAGTGCTTGTTAGAGAAATTGCAATGAATATTTAGGGATTTTCGGGGTTTATGGTTAGTTGCCCAACAGGAGAGGGGAGAGGTGAGGGATGGTGGAGTTTGGTGAAATGAAGAATATAATGAGCAGAGTGTGTAATGAAGGGCATAAATATGATAGCATGTGAAGAGATGTAATAATGAAAAGAAAGAGGTTTATTTTTAAAGCTTCCTCTCCACTCATGGCTGCCAAAAAGATAAAAATATTATATCTAGAGTGTTTTGAGTTAGGTATTTATCAAATTGGATTATTTTCAACCAAGACTTAAGACATGGTTAATTTGGGTTTCATGTTGAAGGATATGGTGAACCTTGAAACTTGATTAATTCCCTTAACCCAAACATACATATTCTTACATTCTCACAAATGTAGGTTTCAAAACTCATGCCAGTAAGATTATGAATTATTGATTCAGATTCAAGGTCAATACCAATAGTAGTATTCGACTACCATAAAATAGGAATATTACAACTATAAAACTTCATCACTAGAATACCCCGCTCAGTAAAGGGACAAGATATCATATGGGTAGTAGTTCCCTGCCTGACCAAGTTAGCATAATTCATACTATACAAGATATCGTATACCATGGAGAAATTGGCCAGCCTTTATGTTAAAGAGATCGTGAAACTCCAAGGAGTTCCTGTATCCATTGTATGGATCAAGACCCCTGTTTCACCTTAAAATTTAGGAAGAGCCTACATAGAGCTTTAGGGGCTAGATTAAAGTTCAACACTTGAGAACATCCTTGGAGTTTGTATGCTAGATTTTGGAGGCAATTGGGCCATGCACTTTCTGTTGGTAGAGTCTACCTACAACAACAACTTCCATTTCAGCATCAACATGACACCGTGTGAAGCCCTATATGGGAGTCGATGCAAGTCACCTATCTATTGAGAAGAAACTGATAACCATCAACTACTCAAACCTGGCTTAATCAAGGAGATGACAGAGAAGATCCAAATTATTCGACAATATTTGAGGAGGGCGCAAAGTAGAAAAAAGAGTTATACGGATCATTAAGCAAGGACCTAGAGTTTCAAGTTGGTGATTATGTATTTCTAAAAGCTACACCAACCGAAGGTATATCAAGAAGTGTGTAGGCTATAAAAATTACCTTAATAACGGGAAGACCTAAAAACCTACCTGTATGGGTACGCCTACACAGAAGAGCCAAGCAAGCTCATTTTAAACGTCAAGCCTACCGTTAAGAGCTCAATTTCGCCTACATGCTTGACTCGCCAGCACGAATCGAGTCCACTCAAGTGCCAAGTTTGCCAGCATGAATCTAGCTCGTCTACGTGTCTAGGCAATTAGCAGTTCGCCTGCAAACTTGCCAAGCTTACCAGAGCACTAGGCGGCTATGATGTCACATACAGGGATGGACCTTCCCATTTTCCTCAACGTGAGGAGGGAGTATAGTACTAAGCACCCATCAAGTAGCCACTCACAGTACAAGTGAGAGGCATAACATCTCTCAAAAGTGCATGGTTGTTGGCCTCTTTTTTTTGATGATGTTTACAAAACAATTTACCACTAATGTTGATTGTCTAGTATTTGTGTTTTCTTATTTATTATAGACAAACAACGGTTTGGAGGATGGATGGATTACACCATAACGATCATATCAAATGGAGGTTGGCGGAATAGTGGTTGAAGCCTTGCTTTTCAAAGTTGAAGATCCAAGTTCAAGCTTCATCCAAGTTTACCAAGTTGAGCTACAATGAAGATTAAGATCAAGCTTGGATAATATTAGTTTAGGTTTATATTATGTGTGTTAGTAATTTAAGCTCAATCATATATACACACACATTATATTGGTTTCCTTGTATATATATGTATATGTTATTATATATATATATACGGCGGCGTCCTTAGGCGATTTTGGGCGATCCAGCGATTTTGGTGTCTCTCCGATATGGCTTCGGCCATACCAGAGCCGGAGAAATCTTCAGGTTCTGAGTCTCTTAGACCTCCCTTCAATCCATCTACAAGTGAGGAGAATAATCAAGATTGGATCAATGTCTCTCGTAAATATAAGCCAAGGAATTTTCCAAAATCTAACTCTAGATTCAAAGGACTTTTCCTTAAGCAGGATAGAGCCGGAGAAATCTTCAGGTTCTGAGTCTCTTAGACCTCCCTTCAATCCATCTACAAGTGAGGAGAATAATCAAGATTGGATCAATGTCTCTCGTAAATATAAGCCAAGGAATTTTCCAAAATCTAACTCTAGATTCAAAGGACTTTTCCTTAAGCAGGATCAATTCGATATGCATAAGGCTTCTGGTAGTTTTCAACAAGCAGTATCAAAAGGCTCAGGCAATCAATCTTCACATCAGGAGGCAAATATCTGGAAATTCAAATCTTCTGGATCCACATCATGGAAGGATATTTGTTCAATGGGTCGGGAGGTAAATCAAAATTGTTCTCTACAATACTTTCCTCCTTCTGTTGACAGCAATGGTATTCTATATGCCTCTATACCGAGATCTGAAATTCTTCTCAATGTCGATAAATGGAGTAACACTTTGATTGGTTATGTTCTTGGAGACAAACCATTCTATTCTCATCTAAAAGGTTGTGTTAGTCGTCTATGGAAACTGACATGTTCACTTGACATATATTCTCGTGAAAATGGTTTCTTTTTCTTCAAATTTGGCAGTAATGAAGAACTTAATAGAGTTCTTAATGGTGGGCCTTGGTTATTTGATGGCAGATTAATAATCTTAAAGAAATGGTCTGAGAACATTAATTTAGAGAGAGAATTACTCACCTCAGTTCCAGTTTGGATTAGATTCCCTTCGTTACATCTCAAACTCTGGTCCAATAATATTATTGGCCGAATTGCTAGCCTTGTGGGTAATCCTCTTTATATAGATCAAGCAACAACAACGGGTGAAAGATTAGCCTTCGCTAGATGTTTTGTGGAAATCTCATCAAAAGCAAAACTTCCAAAATCTGTAAGGTTGGATTTGGGAAATGGAGAATGGTTAGAAACTCCAGTTGAGTATGAATGGATACCACCAAATTGTAGCAAATGCAAAAATTTTGGCCATATAGAGTATCAATGTCCAGTGGTGCTAGTTGATAAATGGATTCCTAAACCAAATACTAATGGAATTGATAACACAGTTTCCGGGTCTACTGCTGCATTAGTCAACATATATGACAAGAAAGATGAAGAGTCAAAACTTAATGCTACTTTGTCAAGTAAATCCGTTTTTACTGGAGATAAAATTATTGATAATCAAGTTCATGAGATTGTTTCTACACATGTGACACATATAAATGTTGATGCTGATATGTCTGGGAGAATAATTATTGATGATTCTACTATAAATGAAGTAAATTATGATGATGCTGTTATTAATGATGATTCTGAGGATTACTTAGAGAAGGACTTGGGGAATCAAGGTATTGCAATACAAGCTATCAACAAAGATCAAATGGTTAATGTGCAAACTATGCAAGGAAACAAAGATAAAACAGATTCAACGAATGCAGAGTATCAGTATATGAAGGAAAATGTGGCAAGCCCAGGTTTATATCAATTAGAAAAAGCAAATGATCCTCCAGTTTCATCTATCCCAGTCACTGTAAGTAATCAATCTGATCAAGAAAATCAAAATTTAGCATTTATTGATTCTATGCAAACTGATGGAGGGAAGATAAATGAGCTAGATATAGATTTCCCTATTGCCAGAGATAATCCAGACTGGTTAAATGAAAAAAGTCAACTGCTTATGAAGAAGAAATCTCAGTTTAAATCTAATAAAGATAGTTCTTTAGGCCCAAAGAGGGTAACCAGGGCTACCTCAAATAATATCTCATGACCATGTTGATTTGGAATGTTAGAGGCATGAACAAAGCTAGTAGAAGAAGGGATATTAAAAGACATATACATTCTTTGAAGCCAAGTGTGGTTGGATTGTTAGAGACAAAAGTTAAGTCATCAAAATCTCACAGAATCACAAAATGTATCCCTCCTCTTTGGTCATATTGCAACAATTATATTGCTTCAAATAGAGGTAGAATTTGGGTGGCATGGGATGCAGATATATGGAGGGGAGATGTAATATCTGTCACCTTGTAGCAAATCACAATTAACCTTCATAACAAGGGAGGTTTCAATTTAATATTAAGTGTCATCTATGGTGAAAATTCAGAAACAACTAGATCATCTTTATGGACTGATATTAGTGATATACATAAGCAATATCACACTCTGCCATGGTTGTTAGTGGGAGATTTTAATGTTTGTAGATTCTCTTCTGAAAAAATTGGTGGTACTCATCTGTCAGTTAAGAAGCTACAGGAGTTTAATGATTGTATTCAAATTTGTGGCCTTTCTGATATCAAAAGTACTGGTTCAACCTGGACATGGCACAATAAACAAAAGGGCATACACAGAATCTATGGTAAACTAGACAGAGCTCTGGGAAATTCTAAGCTGATTGATCTATTTCCTCAAGTCTTTACAGAGTATAAAAATACCTCATCAAGTGATCATACTCCAGCTATTATCCATCTTCAGCCTAATGTTAATTCTGGTCCTAAGCCTTTCAAATTTTTTAACTATTGGATGAAATGTCAAGGTTTTTCTGATGTTATCAAAACTGCTTGGGGAAAACAGTTTACAGGTTCTCCTATGTTTATTTTGGTATCTAAACTAAAAGAACTCAAGTCAGCTCTGAAACTCTGGACTAAACTCTCTCCTGTATCCACTACAGCAAATATTATGAGGTTATCTAATCAGCTGGAAATTATTCAAAAAGAGTTAAATAGGGATATGGATAATGAAAGCTTACAGTATACTGAATCTGCTCTATGTTATGAACTTGATGGCTGGCTAGAAAAGGAGGAGGAGGAGATGAGGCAGAAAAGTAGACAGCTATGGCTACAGCAATGAGATAGAAACAATCGTTTCTTTTATAATGCTATCAAACATAGAATTTCTACAAATAATATCAGAAATTTGCTTGGCAAAGATGGTTCTCAAACTTCCAGTGCTGAACAAATCAAACTCAATGCTCCTGCTTTTTATGAAAACCTATTCAATCAAACATCCTATTGGAATGTTTTTCCTAAGTTAACAGTGAAGAGAATTCTTACAGATGCAGCAAAGCAATGGTTAGTTCAGGATATCAATTACAAGGAAATAAAGAATGCCCTTTTCCAAATGCATCCAGATAAAGCACCAGGTCCTGATGGCTTCAATCCTTATTTTTATCAACAAAATTGGGACATTATCAAAGGGGATGTTGTTATGGCAGTTAAATCCTTCTTCTCATCAGGTAAGATGCTCAAACAGATTAATCATACTTTCCTCACTCTTGTACCAAAATCAAAAGAAGCCACATCCATTCAAGAGTATAGACCAATTTCTTGTTGCAATGTTTTTTACAAACTTATTACTAAGATCCTAAGCAATAGGCTTAAATCACTTCAGGTAAGATGCTCAAACAGATTAATCATACTTTCCTCACTCTTGTACCAAAATCAAAAGAAGCCACATCCATTCAAGAGTATAGACCAATTTCTTGTTGCAATGTTCTACAAACTTATTACCAAGATCCTAAGCAATAGACTTAAACTGGTGGTGGGAGAATTGATTTCTAAGAATCAACATGCTTTTCTCAAAGGGAGACAGATAGGTGAGTGTTCATTGCTAGCTCATGAATTGCTTAGAGACTTCAATAAGAAACATGGAAAGAGAGCATGTCTGAAAATTGATCTGCATAAGGCTTTTGATAGTATCAACAGAGAATTTGTTTATTATATCATGCATTGCATGGGTTTTCCAATTAAATGGATCGAATGGATTAAGGAATGCCTTTCAACTCCTTCTTTTTCTGTCCTTCTAAATGGCTGCTCCTCAGGATTCTTTCAAAGTAATCGAGGAATTAGACAGGGAGATCCTCTTTCTCCATACATCTTTGTTTTAGTTATGGAATTTTGGTCAATTGGCATGGAAATAGCTACTATTTCAAGGAATATTCAAAATTTTCACAAGCAACAGGATCTCCAAATTTCTCATATTTTATTTGCGGACGATATGTTGGTCTTTTGTAGGGCAAATAAGAAATCTTTTGAAGGCATCAACAATCTGCTATCCTCTATGGAATTGAATACTGGATTGAAAATAAACAGGAGCAAGAGTAAAATTTTCTTCAGTAAAGGGTGCAATAATAAAGGTGAATTAAGTTCTATTGTGGGAATTTCTAAAGGGAAATTGCCTATGAAATATTTGGGATTACCTCTAACAGTTAACTATCCAAAATCGAAAGATTTTCTTCCTTTGGTTGACAAAATCAGAAATAGGATTGAGGGATGGATGACAACCTCCTTATCTTTTGCTAGGAGATTAGAACTATTAAAATCAATCCTTTATAGTACTTCTGCTTACTGGTACTTGGTATTCAAGTTTCCACAATCTATTGTGAAAAGTCTGGAATCTATATTTGCAAATTTCTTGTGGGTTGGTAAGCTTCATGCTATTAACTGGAATGATGTCTGTCTGCCAAAAAAAGAAGGAGGTCTTGGTCTGAGAAAAATTGATGATTTAAGTCAAGCTGCGGCACTAAAGCTGATATGGAGATTACTTACTTCTAATACACTCTGGGCAAGTTGGATGCAAGGCAGATATATTAAAGGGAATAATTTTTGGGATACTACATCTAATTTATTGGATTCTGGAACCTGGAAGCATTTATCAAATACAAAAGTTAAAGCTCTCGAATGCATTTCTCTTACACCCTCAAATGCTAACACCTCAATTACAGGTCAGCAAGATGGTTGGAAATGGCTGCCTACAGGTAATGGTATGTTTTCATTTTATTCAGCTTGGAATCACATTCGTAGCATAGGTACTGCATTTGAACTCTACAATATGGTTTGGTATCCTTCTTCAAATCCAAGGATGGCTTATTGCTTGCTCAAAGCTCTGTATAATAGATTGCCAACCAGAGACAGACTGTTTAATTTTGGAATTTCATCTTCTGAAATCTGTGTGCTATGTAATCGAGAGAAGGAATCTAGAGACCATCTTTATTTCCAATGCCCTTATTCGATTTATATCTGGAAACTATGCAAGCTAAAGTTGTAGATGAACGACACTGATATCAAAGACCTGAACACAGAAGCTCAAAACATCCAACAAAAGTTCAAGTCAAAAGATAAAACTTATATATTGGCAAGATTAGCACTGAATTCTACTGTCTGGCAAGTGTGGCAGGAAAGGAATAGAAGAATCTTTCAGAATCAAAAAATGCACAAGATTATGGTTTTCAGGAGAATTTATGAAGACATAAATATTTTGCTCAGAACATGCAATTGGAAGGTTGGAAATTCTAAGATCCTATCAAATTGGGATTCTGTCAACCTGTGAAGATATATATCATTGTAGAGCTCAATGTCTTTGTTAATTTTGATAGTACTGTAGGTTTTTTATTTCTTCGACTTTGGGTCAATCTGAAACTTTTCCAGGTTCTCAATAGTGGAGGGTGACGGCCATGGTCCTCTCCCCTCTCTATTGTTTTTCTTGTTTAAGTTTCTCAGAGTAGCCTAGTCGAGTTCTATAATTAATGTACTAGTGTTTCTTGGTATTAATGAAATTTACTTATCTTTCAAAAAAAAAAAAAATATATGTATGTATGTATGCATATATGTACAATTGTAGTTTGCTCTCATGTTAGATTACCCAAGAGTAGGGTACACATCAGATACTTGGCATACATGGTATGGACTATGGTAATATTTATGCTGGATGATATTTCCTATGGCTACGCCAACTACCCAAGGGTAGTTTGAGATTGTGACATTAGCTTTGTATGGTTGAGGTTTGGAGTTGTGGTATTTTTTCTTTAATTACTGTTTTTCATTCGTAGGTTTGGTATTGGTATTTAACGATTCACAATTTGAGACATGGTATATACATAAGGGTTTTCTTGTTTGGATTATTTCGCTCGACGTACTAATTCTCATGTTGTGGGTTTCTAAATACCAGTTTCCATTTAGAGTTATATGAATGATTTTATATCTATATGTACTAAAAGTATTTTCTTATATACTCCTACCCCTTCCCCCTGGGGGCGGTAGAGATGATCTCAATAGCGCTTTGATGCTCATTGTTTCTCCTCTTTTAAAGCAGCGAGTCAAGTTCACGGAGAGTCACAGGTTAATGGGTTTGCATCTTAGTTTCCATCTAATATATTATATTTATAGTTATTTTTCAGAGCTCCACAATAGATGTTTATTCTCAGACATTAGAGTTTGTGTTTTTATTTTATAGAGGCTGAGTGCATTAGTGACACTTCATTTGACCCTTGTATTTACATTTTTTTTCTGATTCAAAGTTATTTTACTCTTTTTCAGTTGGGCCCTCATGAGGGTTATTTTTACACTTCTTCTGTGTTTACGCTGTTCATTGTACTATTTCACTATTCTTTGTTTGTTTTGTACCTACACCTATTTATTGATTCCTATAGAGAGATAGTAACTGTGATAGTGAAATATGTTATTGCACGGTGTTAATTACAGCATGTTTGACATTCTTGGATTCACCTTAGATTATAGCCTTGTGTGAACCTAGGGGTTATTAGACCCTAGAGGGGGGTGATTACAGTCTTATGCTAATATAATTCCGATTATATGCCAATTAAAATTATATTGATTAATTTGTTCTTGTAAGAAATATATGAGATAAATATGAACAACAATGTGAAAAATAAGCACAAATAAAATATACGCTAAGAAAACACAAACATACGATATGTTTACGAGGTTCAGTCCCCACTGTAGGCATATAAAATTGCTTATAGGTCCCCTAGCATAGCTCGGCACAAACCGACGAACCAACGCCTTACATGGTGTTTTTAATTTGGGCCAATTATTCTCCTAGATGCTCATTCTAATTAATCTAAATAAAAATTAATATTTGTTTTTCCTTTTATCTTATTCATGCAGGTAATAGTGTGAGACTTTAAAGTATCATCAAATTGAAAATGCAAGGCATAAATCAAGTTTTATTGTTTCTTTAATTTTAAGTTTTTTAGGGATCTATTTTTTCTATAATTTGAATATAAATATGTCTGCTAGAAAATATGAGTCTCGATATGCAAAACGTATAAAAAAAGAAAAATAGAAGAATTTATTCAATCTCAAAAAGGAGCACTTAATAGGTTTGTTACTAATACTAAAAATCAAAACTCAGAAAAACCAATTGAAAATTTAAATGATAAATTAATTGAATTTTCACTAGAAGATGATACTTTATTAGGATAAAAAGAAATTTGTCAAAAACTTTCTAATAATCATAAATCTAATTCACCAAATATTAATATTAACAAAGAAGATAATAATAATTTAGAAGAAGATGAATTAGTTGATCAAGAAGATAAAAACTTTAATAATATTTATGAAACTATTGTTAAATATATATATGATCCAGCACAATGGGAAAATATAAATACAAATTTAATAGATTAATTAGTTGAAAAAGGTCCAATTAGAGAAACTAATTTATGTTTTCCAAATGATAAAAATTCTAGACACTTTTCTATTGTTCATTACATTCGAAAATTACCAAATGGAGAAAAACATGATAGGAGATGGCTAGTATATTCAAAAGAATTACATAAAGTACTTTGCTTTTGTTGTAAATTATTCAGTCAAAAATTAATTACAATTCAATTAGCCATAACTAGAAACAGGACTTTTAGCGACGGACAAATCTGTTGCTAAAGGTCGAAAATCCATCGCTAAAACCTTTAGGGATGGAAAAATTAAAATTTTGTCGCCAAAATACCGTCAGTACAGCGAGGGTAGCTAAAATGACCTTTGGCAATGGATTTTTCATCGCTAAATGTCACTGACAGAACATTAGCGACGGATTATCTGTCGCTCTATTTTTTAAAAGAAAAAGAAAAAAACATTAGCGACGGATTTTCCGTCGCTAAAAATAACATTAGCAACGGAAAATTCGTCGCTATAACAATTTAAAAAAAAGAATTATTTTTGAAAATTGAAAAAAACTGTACAATAATATAATAAATTTAAAACCCTGTTCAATCAGCAGTATAATATTCATTCTCACATATATATAACATAAATATTTTAATAAAAATATCTCAACATAATAAATATTGTTTATACAGCATGCACCATAATAAATATTGTTTATACAGCACACACTCATTCATTATTTTCAAAGGTAAAAAAACAAATCAGTCCTCCTGATCATCATCATCATCATCCTCATCACCAGCTCCACCTGCAAATATAAGTCCCGGACTGCAAATATAAATCAAACATTAACAACATGGCATGACTTGCAAGTATAGAATTAAGATAGAGTATCATGGCATATTCTTATGTATTACATGTTTCGGAGAGAGTATCATGGCATATTCTTATGTATTATACGCACGCACGCACAATTTTTGCAACAACGCATGCACACACCCTAACCTCACCCGCAACTTTCTCACCATACGCGTATACACGCGTACACGCACACACGCGTATACGCACGCACGCGTACATGCGTGCATGCATGCACCACACTCCACACAATTAATATGGAAACAAACTAGTTATCAAAACACATCAACTATTAGTTTGAGATTATTTTCTTCCTTCAACATAGACAAACATAAAGTAATATCTAAGCATGAACCAACACACAATTAATTTGAAAGGTAAAAATAATACTCAGATTGTTATATCAACTTTCCCTTAAATCACCAAATACATGATTGTCATCTACAATGTATAAGCATAATATGTTGTAGTTTAATATCTAAACTGATAGGGAAACAAACTACTTATCAAAGCCCATCAACTATTAGTTTGAGATTATTTTCTTCCTTCAAAAACAAACATAGAGTAATATCCAAGCATGAACCTCTAGAGCAATATAATTTAGAATTCAAAAACTAGAAGGTTTCATTACACAATTTAATCATTGCATCTTTTCAAAAACTAGAAGGTTTCATTACACAATATAAATGGTCCTCCTCCCAGTTTGATTAAAAAACTCCAGCCTCAAACAGCAGCAGGTTTCATTACACAATTTAATCATTGCATCTTTTCAAACATAGTTCTCTTCTCATTCTGACTGTATATTATTCTAAAACTAGAAGAGTAAACTCTAGTGTCGTTCAACTATGTCTAATTCCATATAAAACCCATGGAGTTTGTAGAATTGGCGAGAAATTTTGGATCAGAATAGGTTTGGAGGCACAGGAGTCGTTTTGGGTGCTGCGCGGTCGACCGCAGTGTAAGGCCGGTCGACTACGAACATGCACAAGCCAGAGTAGGAGTCTGGATTTGGCACGGTCGACCGTGAGACCCTATAGGCGAATTTGGTCTCTGTCGCTGGATCGCGATCGACCGCGAGCTTTGAGCAGTCGACCGCGAGCTTTAGGCGGTCGACCGCCAATCGGGTCAGGGCCTGTTTTGTGTTTCCTATTCTTATTGATAGGGAGATGACGACTTCATCAGATTCGGCTAGACTGTGGCATTATTTGATGCTGGGTTATTTGATTGGTAATACCGTGCATAGGTTGTTGAGGAGTGTTTTAACCTACAGTTTGAAGTCCTGTGAACCCATTGGTATGAGCAAGAAGACTGAGGTGGAGTTTGGCACTTCTATTCAATGATTGAGGGGTCTTCTATTTGGTGTTCATTCAGGCATTTAGGGGCCTTCCAAGGAGGCATTATTGGAAGGTAAATTGGTATTTTGGCTTTTTATGTTGGGAATTGTACTAGGTATTTGTGGGTTGCAACCAAGTCCCGTTAGTTTTAAAGTCCTAGTAGTCAACAACAGTTGAAGAAGTGTATTGGCAGAAGGTGAAAGTACTTCATTCTGATTTTAGCGTGAGGTACAAGAGGGACCTATTTCTGTATTTATGTCGAGCTCATGGAAGTTTGAGATACTTCATTGGAGAGGAAACATTATGGCGACTAGATAAGATGATATTTTTGATTGGTTGTTCCTTTCTGGAGGGGGATCGGCGTTGATTGTCGAGCATTGGCTCTGGTTTAGGAGGTTTGACATATTTGGGGCATCTTAGTCATAGGTCGCCGACTACTGCATTTGGAGTTATTGGATCTGGTAGAGCTGTTTTAGATTTTGGTTAGCGTGGATATTTGGTTACCCAGCATTTAGTCACATCGAGGATGTGAGATTTGATCTGATTGCGCGTTTGGGATTCAGAGGCTTATTTGATTATCGGTTGGGAGCTTCTGATTTTGTTCTGAGTAGGTATGTCACTTTTTAACTCTCGACAGGTAGAGAGTGTTGATCAGGTTATTTGGATATCGCAACAGGTGGAGGGTGATGCTACTCCATGTTTGGTGGGGTTTACTCCACATACTCCAGATCATACTGTATTGTTTGGGATTCTAGCTGAGGTGACACTGATTGGGGATCATTTGGATTTGGATGCAGATGATATTGGTGAAGAGTTGTAGATTTTTCTATTTTTTTGAGGGCCTTTAGAGGCCGTTTGGGTGAACTACATGAAGGCTTGATTCCTTGGGCAAGAGGATACGTAGGCAGTCAGTTTTGATGCAGCCGATCTGGTGAGTAGATACCGACGTTTGGGAGAGTGTTCGCACTCCCGTTTGGGTCTTGACTTGTTGTGGATTGAGTCCGTTGTCGTGAATCGTTCACTTCATACTGGACGCAACAAGTGAGACATTTGATTTGGTCGGTGTCGGCTCAGTTTTTGGAAGAAACTTCGTCGATGTAGAGAATTGTAGAATCAACGAGAAATTTTGGATCAGAACAGGTTTGGAGGCACAAGAATCGTTTTGGGTGCTGCGCGGTCGACCGCGGCGCAAGGCCGGTTGACCGTGAACGTGCACAAGCTAAAGTAGGAGTCTGGATTTGGCACGGTCGACCGCTGCGATCGACCACGAGACCCTGTAGGCGAATTTGGTCTCTGTCGCTAGATCAATGTCGACCGTGAGCTTTGGACGGTCGACCGCCAATCGGGTCAGGGCATGTTTTGTGTTTCCTGTTCTTATTAGGTTTGGTGTTTACTATAAATACCAACATACGAATTAGGATTTCTTTGGCTTAGATTGAAGATTGGTTTGGGGATATTGGAGCGCAGAAAAGGGAGAGTTTTTCTGAGCAATTGTTTGAGGGTTTATTTGGAGAGATTAAGAGATATGTTAGTGAGATTAGTTAATTGGTATCAGAGCTTCAGGCTTGTTCAAAGGATTCGGTGAAGGTTCCTATCTGAAGAGTTAGATCAACAACATGGGAGAATCAAGCACATCAGGTTCGTCTCTTACAAAGATGATACATAGTTTGAGCATTAATAACATGAAGATTGATGTTCCAAAGTTCGACGACAAGATCAATTTCAGTTTGTGGAGGTGTCAGGTGATGGATGCGTTGGACGCTCAAAACTTGGAAGAGACTCTTGAGTTGCAAGAAAAAACTACTGATATGAAAGAAAAAGTTTGGAAGAAGATGAATAGTAGGGCGTGTGGAGTTATTCGGTCATGCTTGACGTCGGATCTTATTTATGATATGATGAACGAGACGTCGGTGAAGAAGATGTGGGAAACACTCAATGAAAAGTATCTTACTAAGAGCATTAGGAATCGGCTTCACTTGAAGAAGAGGTTTTACCAGTTCAAGATGAAGAGGGGAGTTTCCATCAAGGAGCATGTTAACAACTTCACGAAGCTACTTTCAGACATGGCCAATATGGATATCATGGTTGAGGATGAAGACAAGGCGGTGCTACTTTTGTGTTCATTGCCCGAGGATGATTATGGTACTTTTGTCCTAACTATGATTAATAGAATAACTACTGTTAGTTATAAGGAGGTGACCTCAGCGTTGGTGAATTATGAGTTGAGGAAGAGTGTCGATGAACCCTCCGAGAAGGCATCGAGAGATGCATTAGTAGTTCATGACCGTGGTTCAAACCAAAGCAGGAGGTCACAGCCTAGAGGTGCACATCGTGGGATTCATAGGAATCAGTGTGCTTTTTGTAAAGAGGATGGACATTGGAAAGCTGAATGCCTAAAGTTAAATCGAGCCGAGAAGAATAAGGGGAAAGCTGTACAAGCTTCAGAGGTGAACGTTGTCAAGACTAGTGGCAACAATTCAGATTTGGATTCTTCAGGCTATTCATTGTTTGCACTACCGTCAGTTTGTGTTGTCAACTCTACAGAGTGGATGTTGGATTCGGGTGCTTCTTACCATGTTTGACCTAGGAGGGATTTGTTCTCTAGCTTTTAGAAGTTGGAAAGAGAGGATAGTTGTGCTCATGGGTAATGGACATGCATGCTCTATTGGTGGTATTGGTACCGTTCGGATTAAGATGAGTGACGGGATGACTCAGGAGTTGGATGATGTAAGGTTCGTTCCACAATTGAAGATGAACATTATTTCACTTGGAGCTTTGGAGGCAGCAGGCTATAGAGTGACCTTGGTGGATGCACGTTTGAATCACATTAGGGTCCATGATTGTGATGAAGGACGTCAGAAGGAGCAATTTGTATTATTTTCTTGGAAGCAAGGACGCTTTTGAGCAGTCTTTTGAAAAGAATTATTGTATCCAATTGTGAAAGATTTGTGAGAGATCTAGAGCTTTGTTTTAGGGTTTGATCGGTGAGATTTGTAACTCTATTTGTATTCTCTTGATTCTAATAGTAAGAACTCCCCCCTCCTTGCCCCGTGGACGTAGGCAACTTGCCGAACCACGTTAAACTCATTGTTCTTGCTGTGATAGTGATTTGCTTATTGGTTGTGATTTATCTTGAGTTATTGTTCGTGTCGCTTTGAGAACTTCCGTCGCGCACAACAGAGTTAATGGTTAGGAGTCTTAGGACTTAAGAGATAGACATACAATATGGATTTGAGAAACTATTAAAAATCAAAGTCAATAATTGCACAGATCATGTTGTTGGTGTATTTTTTTGTCCTCTCTGATTGGATAGATTATAGTATAACTAAAGACCAAAAGACCTGTTGATATTGTATTTTTTATTTTTTAGAAAAGAAATACAAAACAATCCCATTAAATCTGAAAATAGAACCTTGAAAAAAAATTTAATAAAGCAAACAGAATATGGCCAATACCCGACAATGTGAACATGAAATAGCAGCAGAGTTACTTGATTTCCCAGCCTTGTCTTTTATGTGCAAAAATTTACAACAAATAAAGAAAATTGCATAAAAGGAACTTCAACCCCAAAAAAATAGTATACCGTAACAACTTTTAAATAAATTGCATAAAAGGAACTTCAACCCCAAATCCAGCCCTTAGTTTACCACCGATGCTCATCAGGTCAAAGAAGGGAAAATCAGTTGGTTTTGAGGGCACAGTCCTGGGTTTTCCTTTCCAAAGAACAAAACGAGAGGCATCGGGATCACCAAACACGAGCTCATCCTTCAGACCACTATCGACCTGTGAACAACAACGTATCCACACTAATAATGTCGTGCAGCAAAGCTGGTATGGCTAGGAACAAGAGGTTTTACTTGTAATTTACAAACAATGTGGGCTCGTGCAAAAACAAAATAATGAGAAAAGAGAAAACCTCCTAGGGTTTTATGGGTGAAATTTACTGCCATGGAGAGGACTGGATCCGAGGGCTGGAAGCTATTAGGCCCCTCCTCCCATAGATAGCCATCCCTCTCGACGGTGGTGACGTTGCCCCCAACCCGATCCCTCACCTCCATCACTAGCACCTTGGGGGTCGTGCCGGCGTGGCGCGTGGCGAGCGTCTGGGCGGTGCAGAGGCCGTTGATTCCGCCCCCAATCACGACGCAGTCTGCGGATATCCTGGTGCTGGACAGCGAACCTCTGTCGACGGTAGCATCCCCGACGAAGAGAACGAGAAGAGAGAGAGGGGGGAAATGAGAGAGGGATTTGGGGATAAATCCCTCACTCTGGCGCGGGCTGCCCAAAAAATTTGGGCGCCCGCGCCTAATTTTTTTCCCATCAATATTTTTTAGCGATGGAAATATCCGTCTCTAAAAAGGTTTTTAGCGACGAAAAATTTTCGTCGCTAAATTTCTGTCGGGAAATTTAAAGCGACGGAAAATTTTCATCGCTAATACTCTCACTTCCACGGCAAAAAATTTTCTACCTACGAAAATTTTCGTCGCTATATGTTACGTTATAGCGACGGAAATTTCCGTCGCTATATTTTCGTAGGTAAAACTCTATTTTCTAGTAGTGAGCAAACGAAGGATATCAAGATTGGAAAAATCTTAGTACCAAGTTTAAAAGTCATGAAACAAGCAGTGAACATATTATATGAATATTTGGTTTGATGTTGAAATGAGATTACTTAAAACTATTGATCAAAATTTACAAGAAAAGATAAACAAGGAAAAAGAGCATTGGAGGAATGTATTAGTAATAATTATTGTTGTAGTTAAAAATATTGTAAAAAATAATTTGGTATTTCATGGCACAAATGAGAAGATTTATCAAGATAACAATGGAAATTTTTTAAGTTTAATTGAAATGATTGCAGAAAAGATTTATCAAGATAACAATGGAAATTTTTTAAGTTTAATTGAAATGATTGCAGAATTTGATCCTATAATGCAAGAACACCTTAAACAATGGAAATTTTTTAAGTTTAATTGAAATGATTGCAGAATTTGATCCTATAATGCAAGAACACCTTAAACGTATTCAAAATGGTGAAATACATAATTATTACCTTGGCCATAACATACAAAATGAGTTAATAAATATATTAGGATAAAAAATAAAAAGTATTATAATTAAAAAAATATAAGAAGCAAAATACTTTTCGGTTATACTTGATTGTACCCCAGATATAAGTCATCAAGAAAAAATGTCTCTTATATTAAGATGTGTAGATATTTCAACAAATCCAATCAAAATAGAAGAGTATTTTTTAGAATTTTTAAAAGTGGATGATACGTCAGGGAAAGGTCTTTTTTGATAAGCTTACTAGTGTAATAAGAAATTTTGAACTTGATATAAATGATATAAGAGGACAAGGATATGATAATGGGTCTAATATGAAAGGTAAACAACAAGGGTACAAAAGAAATTGTTAGATATAAATTCTAGAGCTTTTTATACACCATGTGGTTGTCATAGTCTTAATTTAGTGCTTTGTGGTATGGCTAATTCTTGTCCTAGTGCTATAACATTTTTTGGTGTGACACAACGTATATACTCATAACGTATATACTCATTATTTTCTTCTTTTACAAAAAGATGGAAAATTTTGCAATGTAATGTTTCTAATTTAACTCTTAAACCATTGTCACAAACACGTTGGGAAAGTCGTCTTGAAAGTGTTAAAGCAATAAAATATCAAGCTCCACAAATAAGAGATGCTTTATATCAACTAGCAGAAGCTAGTGATGATCCTAAAACAAAAAGTGAAGCAATTTATTTAGCAACATATGGGATTGAAAATTTTGAATTTTTATTAGGTATGATTATTTGGTATCATATATTGTTTGCAGTTAACACTGTTAGTTAATTTTTACAATATATAGATATGAATATTGCTATTGCATTAGATCAGCTAAAAGGTCTTGTTTCATTTTTTTAATGACTATAGAGAAAATGGGTTCACATTTGCTATGATTTGTGCTAAAGAGATTGCCAATGAAATGAATGTAGAACCAAAATTTCGTGAAAAACGTGTAACTAGAAGAAAGAAAAAAATTTGATGAGAATGAAACTAATGAGGTGAGACTTTCACCTGAAGAATCTTTTAAAATTAATTATTTCAACTATATAGTTGATCATGCCATTTCTTCACTTCAAATTAGGTTTGAATAGTTTAAGATATTTGAAGATAATTTTGGTCTGTTGTATGATGTAAAAAAAATTAAAATTGCTTGGTGATGATTTTCTAAAAGAAAAATGTTTGCATCTTGAAATTTTTTTAAAACATGACATGTTATCTGATATTGATGGTTTAGATTTATTTTCAGAACTAAAAGTTTTAAAAGAAATAATAAATCCTAAATTAAAAATAGCGCTTGAGATACTAAACCTTATAAAAAATTATAAAAAATTAAATTCTTTTCCTAATACATGGATAGCTTTTAGAATACTACTGACAATACATGTTAGTATAGTTTCAGCAGAAAGAAGTTTTTCAAAATTAAAATTAATAAAATCTTATTTACGTTCAACAATGTCTCTAGAAAGATTAAATAATTTGGCAATTTTATCAATTGAAAAGAATTTATTATCAGAGCTTGAATATAAAAATTTAATTAGTAACTTTGCATCTTAAAAAACCAGATAATTAAATTTTATATAAAATCTATTATTTAAAAACTAATATTTAATTATTTTTTTAAATATTAAGACCCCAAATATTTTTCTCTGCCGAGTACCTCAAAAATGCTTTGAGACGGCCCTGGCTCGCGAAGGATGAGCATGGGGCTCGCAGTAGGGTTTGCTATCTGCATCTGAATTCAAACTCCATAATAATTATTTCTCTCGAAGGCAAAAGCTATTCACTTATATTTTAGATCAATAACAAACATTCATAAGTTTTCTAACAAGTTTTCCTTCAAATTACGTGTTAAAAAACACCCTATTTTGATCTTGTTGAAGTACGGTACTAATCCACAAAGAAAATACATACGTAAGGGGTGTTATTGGTTCAAGACAATCAAGAGTTTAGAACAGGGCATATATTGCTACAAAGGAAAAATCAGGGGGTAAACATAATTATATTTCGAACCTTGTTCTCATGCCATATTTAAAATCTTTTCTAAATGGGAAGCTGTCATCAAATAAAATCCAAAGACAAGTATAAAATGAACAAATTTTGAAATATTCCGATTAATCCATCTTATCTTAAACCATCAATTTACAGTCATTTGATTCCCCGCCTCAAAAAGCTCAAATAATAAAGAAAATAACTTCCCTATACTTGTGATATCTGCTAAACAAACAAAATTGGAGATCTCTTAAGGATTTCTAGCATTACTCTACTGTAATTTGGGTAGAAATCTTTGTCTTGTCTTCTCTGGCAAAATAATCTCCTCAACATCCATTGCTTTTCTTTTGCTCGTAGCGCTGCTGTTTGCATCATCCTCCTCTTCACTGCTCTTCTCTTCTTTGGATTTGGTCTTCATTAGATGAGGTCTGAGCCTGTTCATGTCTGCTAACTGTACTGGCTTCAGAAAGAATTCCTCTGCTCCTTCCTCCAAACATCTACAATCATATATAAAAAAGAAAAATAAGATTACTATTTGAATGTCAGAAAAATCTTGTTTCAGACACTTTGATGTTATTGACAAATTTTAATGTAACAATCATATACATGGTTATATGAATGTTCATATGGTTTGTCATACCCTATTACTAAAGAATTTCACTTTGTACAAATTTGGGGTAAAACTTCATTTTTGTAACCTTTAAAGGAAATTTCTGTGACTCTTATATAAATTTTAGGGGGTGTTATGGAAATGGTAGGGGGGGCTTTGTGTAATTTTGACAATCCTCACCTATTGATCCTTGCAGGCACATTCTCAGATGACATGATCACAACTGGGATATCCTTCAAATATGATGATTCCTGATACATCAAAATAGTTCTCCATAAGAAATCAAACCAAGCCCAGATAATCGAAATAAAAAGGGGAAAATGAGGAAAAAAATGGCACCTTAATTTTCTTGAGTAGATCGTATCCTGTCATCCCAGGCATCCAGTAGTCTGTAATTATTAAATTCACTTCAATTTCCTGAAATCAAGACCAATATCAGCATCCAAATTTATAAAAAAAAATGGATCATTTTGGGCAAACAGGGGTCATCTAGAAAATTTACTTGTTGATCAGGGGACACCAAAAACTCCAGAGCCTTGATCCCAGAATCCACTGTAGTAACTGGAATGAACCCAAAAACCAACATCAGACCCACGAAATAATCAAAATTAGCAAATGGGCACTGCCCAATTTGTGTTTCCAATCAAAATACCTTGAAAAGATGAAGTCTTGAGCAGCCTCTCAATGAGTTTCCTATCAATGATGCTGTCATCCACAGCAAGAACGTGGAACTGTGAGTCGGCTGCTACCGCCATTTGGTTTCTGATTGAAGAAGAAGACGACGATGAAGGATGAAGAGAAAGTTGAAGGCTTTGTGTGAAGCTTTATAAGTTGAATATTTATTTATTTATTTTTTGTCGGGGGGATAATTTATAGGAATAGGATGCTGTGTTGGAGTGACAAAAGAAAAAAGAAATCAGGAGCAAATCAAAGAAAGATCCGACAAGATTTCCTACAAATCTCCCAGCAATCTCCTCTCCAAATACCTCCGTATTTTTTTGCCTTTTTTTTGTTTTGGATTTGACTTTAAAACAAAGCAACATGGGACCCATGCTCTCTCTCTCTCTCTCTCTCTCTCTCTCTCTAAAGCTTACTGTTGAAGCAGTATTCTTTGTCCCCTACTCGCGTATAGATTTCTTCTTTTTATTTTTTTGGCGTACGTGGTGGGGGACACTTTGGATTGGGAAATCCCACGTCCATTCGTGCTTAATTGCATGGTTTACACATGTAGGTGCTTGTAAATTGCTTATTCGTGATTGCTTCCCCTAAATAATAGCTTTGCATACATCCCTAAAATTTATTATGCATTGTAGGATGAGGCAGCAACTCATTTTGCGAAATGGACTACTAATAAATAAGGATTAGTTGTCTCACTTGGCCTCACCTATGTATATATCTTGATTGCCTATATAACGAAATAAGTGATCGCATGTATATTGTTTATGTTGCAATATAAAGTTCGTGAGATAACTATTTTTACTTATAGTTATGCATTCCATAATCCAGCAAATCACAAGTAGTTTAGGATTGGGACATTTTGTTTGGCAACCTTCAAAAGTAGTTTAGGATTAAATGGTTTAGAATTAATCTTGGCCTAGTATTAGGTGTTTTGTCTTTGGCAAATTGCTAATATTGTACGCCAAAATTTGGTTATTAAACCAATTCTAATTTGGGAGCTCTTTTCTTTGTACAATTCTCGATGGCTTGGAAGGCTCTAATATAACTTTCACGGATTTTGGTTCAATTCTCGATGGCTTCGTTATCTTAAAAAAAGCTAAAAATAGTTTTAGATAAAACTTGTCTAGGAGTGACTTTGATTCAATTTTATGTTGTTTACCAAATACACCCTGAGTTTTGACATTTATTTTTTTATTGAGTTTGCAGGGTCGTAAAAGCAATATAAAAAAAGTAAAAGATAATCAATACTATATTGTGCCAAACACCCAAGCGTACATAACTAGATGTGCACACTGCTAAAAATACCAAAGGGGGTTATCTTAGGCAGCAGATCAAGTCACCAACAACTAGGATTTGCATAGGATTCGGTATGGGCCCACCCCCTATTTCCCATCTGCAAGGAAATCACCTTCTCTGATCTCATCCCAGCTGTCCTTATCGGCCTTTATTATTTCGCCCTTTCTTTGCGAGGGGAACGCATTTTCATGCTGATTATCTCTAGAGATTGTGGCCCTGACGTTAAATTTGCTCTTCTTCCTTTACTTTTCGCCAAACGAGCTGCCCGGTCATTAAGTAGCGGTTAAATTTTATAAAGCTCCTTAACCCTGTACATTTGTTGTTAACACCCCGAAACTTTGTGGTGTCTCACGTCTCGCAAATTTTTTAAACGAATCTCTCACAATGTGTTTGTTTACACTTTTTAGTTAGCAAGGGGAGAGGATGTGTTACACCCCTAAAAAATATTATTGTCGATCTTCACTGAGCAGTGGACACGTGTCATGTAGTTTTTACAACTTAGTCAAAACCAAAATAATCTCTGCCTCACCTCGACCTGTTGTGCGCAGCGAAAATTTCGACAGAGTTTCTGGTGCACAATAAGAAAGAATGATTAATAAGAATTCATGTCTCACCAAGGAAACAAGAATCTGAAGCGAATAACTCAACAAAGTGAGATATCGGCTCTTCCTCTCATCAGTTCTAGGACTGATTGTCGAGGCATCCTAAAAACTATTACAATGGCCACAAACTCAAATCACAAAAGTTTTACGTGGTTCGGCAAATTGCCTACATCCACGGTGCAATGAGGGGGGAGATGTACAATTAGAGGGAGAGAATACAACTAGAATTTTCAATCACACGATCTAAACCCTCTCACAAATTCTCAGATCCCTCACACAAATATCTCTCTCAAAAGGTACAAAAGGATTGTTTGCACGAAGTCAAAGAAAGTCGCTGACTTTTTCTCTGCACCTCTGTGAATTTCCTCCTCTTTTGCACCAGCCGATTTATCCCCTCTGTCTGCACTCGCATAGCCGCATGCAAACTTCTCCTAGAACACCGCCAAAAATACCCTAGCATGGGTATTTATATTATCGCTATTCATGGGCCTTCAATCGGGTCCTCACATGCGAAATCTCCTCACACCAAATTCGTGGCCCTCACACGCATTAAAGGAAAACGTGTCTGCTGGCTGAATTCGTGGCCAATTCTGGCCAATTCATGGCCTCACATTCACACGACCAACTATTCGGCTAACATCTTTCGTAACTGAGACAAAATGTGATACTCAGCCAACCCTTCAATTAATTCCCCGAGCAATCTAACTCGACCAACTGTTCGACCGACATCTTGCATAACTGAGACAAAATAGAGCACTTGTCGTCCAACCTGGCCAGTCGCTCCTGCGAATAAAACCCACTTGGCCCGTTGTATCAGCCGTCAACAGGTATAGTCGACCATCAGCTACAAGACTAAAAGAGTCGGTGATTTTCTCCGTATCAAACGGGAATTGCGAGCAAATAGAAAACCCCGCGCTGACAGTCGTCTGTCTTTGCATTAACTGCTCTGACAATGTCATTATTTCTCTAGCGTCCATAGCCTTTATAACTCATCGGACCCAGTCAGCACTGAGTGCATGTTGTCATTCTCATAATAAATGACCAGGTGACTCACATCTCTCAATAGCCGATACATACCACATGTTTACTGACTCAACTGCGTAGCTGGATTCGGTCTAAGTTACCTTATTGACCCTCGGATCCATTATAAAAGGAGAGTACTGCATGAGGTAACTCTCTGGTCTTTTTTGATCCAACTAATAGCTAACTCCATATTTTCCCACTCAAGATTATCTACTGACTTGATCGTTGGAGGAACAACAGGAGAACCCAACTCTATCATCTTGTGAGTTCTTTCTTGTGCAAGGAAGAACAGAAAACCCCAGAGCCATATATTAGAAGGAGTTAAAAGACCTTAATCACTCCAAAAATCTGCAAATTATTCCATGTTTGATAACTGACATCAACAGGATGGGATGAATGAAAATTATTAAATTTAGACACTTTCTTTACCCTCCAAAAGTGTACGGATTGGGAGGGGGGAGATTTCAAGTGGATTTTTTTTTAAAATTCAATATTGTCCTATATGAAAAAAAATCAAAAGATATTCTTTTTTATTTTATTAAAAGGGTATAATGGTCTATTAACTTCCCTTCTTTTCTCATCGCCTACTCTAAATAAACACATATTATAATATACCATGCTATTTTCTCGTTGTCTATCCAAACACAAATGAATATATTCCACCATTTTCCTTTCTACTCCCTCCCCTCAGTGTTGAGTGAATCACTTCCCTTCCCTCCTCTCCTTTGTATACAAACCGATCGTTACTACGGCACCGCTGTTTATTATTTTCATTGTGTAGAAAATAAGTGTGTGTTGATTCATTAACACTGATATAGGAGCTCATGGGAAATTTTGGAAGTTAGTGGGATTCTTTGAGACACCCCAAGTTCTTGAGTATCTCTAGAGGCTAACTATGGGAACATATGAAATTCCAAATAAAACAGAGCGATTACATACGTTATGTAGGTCAAAGAGCTGGACCTAGCCGTATGATTTGATAGCTTGCTAGCTGTGAAGATTTTCTTCAACAGTTCTGTAAATGTTTGAAATGTGTGGTAGTGTTTTAAGGTCAATGATTTTGTCGTTTTAGCAAAGTTTTGTATAAACATAGGAATCAGACATGACGTGTAGGGCATCCTAGAGATTTCCCACTTGATTCTCAAGGATACGTCAATCTCTTGATTTAATGTCTCGCTTCTTCCATCAAACGCAATGAAGTTTGAGAAAAATACTCATGAGCCCTGTATATATCTTGAAGGATATGCTGCTCTCAAACTGACTAGTCCAAATTGAAATTTTCTATATACATCTATTAAATTTACATCATAAAAGTTAAAGTGTAACACCCCGTCCCGAAATCCCAGAGTCGGTACGCTATTAGATCTGATGGACTGGCCTCACAAATCACCACATGTCTTTTCAGCAACCTCACTTTCCTGAGCTGCAAGTGGTTGCTAGCAGCTAATAAGACTGTCCGTGTGAAGCCTATCAAAGAATTGGTGACCGAAGAAGCCTCTCAACTTGATTCTCGTGTTATCCAGGACGGTGCTCGATCACAGAGGACTCAGGGCAAGACCCGCCGACTTGATGCAGAAGGTCACAGGGCCTTTAGTTCTGCTGGATAGCAAAGTTTTGTATAAACATAGGAATCAGACATGACGTGTAGGGCATCCTAGAGATTTCCCACTTGATTCTCAAGGATACGTCAATCTCTTGATTTAATGTCTCGCTTCTTCCATCAAACGCAATGAAGTTTGAGAAAAATACTCATGAGCCCTGTATATATCTTGAAGGATATGCTGCTCTCAAACTGACTAGTCCAAATTGAAATTTTCTATATACATCTATTAAATTTACATCATAAAAGTTAAAGTGTAACACCCCGTCCCGAAATCCCAGAGTCGGTACGCTATTAGATCTGATGGACTGGCCTCACAAATCACCACATGTCTTTTCAGCACGTTTTGTCCTCACTCACGCGCTCCTGAAAAACTTCTCAGGGGGTCACCCATCCTAGAATTTCTCCAGGTCAAGCATGCTTAACTTTAGAGTTTCTATGAGTTGGGTTCCCGAAAAGAAGATGCATCTTGGTGGTATGAGTATTCCAATCAAATCTAGTAATATTAATCACATCACCCTCTTCAAGGGTTGGAGTATTACAAACTCTCCCACTTAAACTCACAACGTCCTCGTTGTACCAAATCATATCATCCAAGACCGTACCATCCGTGTGAGATTCTAGAGGTGGCTCCTACGGCCTCAAGAGGTGGCTCCCGCCCTCTCGACGTAGCACTTTGCTCC